ATCATTTAAAAGCATTGGTGAAATGGAACGAAGCCAAAAACTGTTATTTAAGTATGCTTAGGTTAAATAAACGTAGTTTGCGAGCCTGCGTAGGTTATGCACGTTGTCTCATAATGTTAAGTAAGTGGTCAGTGGCTGAGAAGTTTCTTCGTCAAACATTAGCAGCCCATCAAAATTCAGCTGAAGCATGGTACTTGCTAGGTCTGGCAAGACGTAAACTTTGCATGTATGAGGAAGCAAATTTAGCTTTTCGTACAGCACTCGAAATACAGCCGAATTATGCTGCTGCGCAACGTGACCATAGAATTTTGCATCATTTAAGGGATGAGCCTATGGAAAAACGATTGGAGCTGTATAATCGCATGACGACGATCTGTAATAAAATTAGAGAAGAAACTTCTTACACATACAATATATTGTGTAATGATGGTGGTGGTATTCGAGGTCTAATCTCTGCGATCTGGACTGCTGAAATTGAGCGTCTTACTAACTCTTCAGCTGTTTCACTCTTTAACATGATGTCAGGTACGTCTACGGGTGCCATCGTAGCAGCGGGTCTATGCGCACCTAACCGAGAGCACCCAACCTTGCCTCGTTATAAAGCAGCTGATATAGTTAAACTCTATGTAGCAAATGGTAACAAAGTGTTTGAAAAGCCACGTGGCAGATGGTGGTACAATTTTCGACGTGCTGTAACGCAAGAAGCAAAATATATATCTGAAAGTCGACATAAACTATTCAAAGCGTACTTTGATCACACCAAGTTATCACATATGCTGAGTGAATTAGTAGTTCCAGCTGTAAAAAATGATTCACAAATTACACATTTATTCAATAAATATGACTGCCGAAATGAAAACGCAGTTGATTATGAAGTACATGACGTACTAATGTGCACGACAGCTGCGCCAACGTATTTCAGTCCTCATAAGCTTGGAACGTGTCAGTATGTTGATGGAGGTATCCAGATGAATAATCCAGTAATGGCTGCCTATAGTGAAGCATTACGTTACGATCCCTCGAGAAAAGATAGACTTTTTGTCCTATCACTTGGAACTGGTGATTACGTTCCAAATCCGTTACATCCCAGTGCCGATCGGCATTTGCTATTCTATGGAAAGCATACCCAAGAAATCTTGAATATAGTTGTCGACGGACCACAGTACAATGTTGATATGCATATGCTATCTGTGTTGGGTAAAGAGCGATATCAACGTTGGCAAGTGTGGTTCGAAGAACCAATTAGTTTAGACGCTGTAGATAAAGCTAGTATAGATATGTTATTTGATAAGGCACGAGAATTTTTTTGAAGAAAGACAAGCATTAGACGATGATAATCGTCTAGGATTAGTTCTGGACAGATTAAAAGGAGATCCACATTAGAAGGTTATAAGTTGAATGTTCACGAGCCTCCTTTGGATGAATAGTCTGGCTGTTTTTTTATCACCACGTTCTGAAAACGATGCACTTTGAGTGTTCTCAAAACTTTCATGGCGACAAGAAACTGGCAGAATTTTCCTATTCCTTTCATTTGTGATACGTATTTTTATTCTTGAACATCGATTTTTATTGTATCATGCTTTTTCTCACTCAGATCTATTGTGCTCTTAGAAACCGACTTTCTTTTTTATTCGTAACTCTTGTATTTTTTTATGTAACTTATTAGTAAAACACGGTATCACTCATTATCACCCACTAACAGCGCGCGTTAGACTGCGATCTAGCCGACATGATATAGCTGACCAGGGAAATATGTGAGACCAGGATTCATAGGAATCGATATGCACTAAACGTCTATTTTGGGTAATTCCGGCAGCTTATTCCCATGATTTACAAAAGTATTTTAAAATTTCCCTAAAATAGGCTGCGTTTGTAGAGCTCTTTGAGCTGATCATTTTAGTAACAAAAAAGTGGAAATTTTGATTGTCAAAAAGAGAGAAATCAATGAAATACTGAAAGAGTGGACGAGTAACGGCCGCGAATTTGTAATAAATTAATAAGTCAAAAGGTCTTTTACAAGGCAAAAATGAGAACAATAAGGTTGCAAATTAAAATATATATCCAGTATTTCGTTCAAAATCTTTTTGCAATTGAAAAACGATACTGTGCGCTCTTTCTACTCTCTTTTTAAGGATCACCTACTACACACAAACTATACGTACAAACTGAGCATATAAAATTGCCACTTTACGTACCACCAAGCAAAATGCAAACCAATGTCATGCAATGGTCACCACGTCAGATCTAATCATCAAAAATCTAACGCAGATGCTGCTTCAGAAAAAACCATCCAAGAATACATTATGTGCACCTTTAGAACGAAGCAAATACGTAAATAATAAGTCAAAAGGCCTTTTACAAGGCAATTTTGTATGATCAGTTTGTACGTATAGTTTGTGTGTAGGTAGGTGTTCCTTAAAAAGAGAGTAGAAAGACCGCACAGTATCGTTCTTCAATTGCAAAAAGATTTTGAACGAAATACTGGATACATATTTTAATTTGTAACCCTGTCCCCATTTTTGCCTTGTAAAAGACCTTCTGACTTATTATTATATTCAAGAGTTCGTATTGCTTTTGTGTTATCTGCTCGGTCGTGAGGAGATGTCTTAACATCTGATCGGTGTTTTGAATCATCCGGTCTATCGAATTATATGTAATTTTATCGTATCATATCACCGATATGTCAAAATTTTAAATAGGACTAGAGTCGATAAAAACGACATTTTTGGATAGAGGATAGTCGATTGTATATGTATCCACCAAAACTGGTTCGGGGTACTGTCAGTCGGGAAGCCAAAAAGTTTTTGGAAAGTT